TGTGTCCGGGATGTGAGAGGTCTGTAAATATTTTCACAGCCCTCTTTTTGACTCATGCAGTATACAGGTCCTCAATTGAAGGCAGTTTGGTAGTAATTGTTTTTTTTCTGCAGTCCTAATTATCCTCTGAAGTCTGTGTCTGTCCTGTTCAGTTGCAGAACCAAACCAGACAGTTATAGAGGTGCGGATGACAGACTCAATCATTCCTCTGTAGAACTGTATCAGCAGCTCCTTGGGCAGTTTGAGCTTTCTGAGTTGGCGCAGAAAGAACATTCTTTGTTGTACTTTTTTGATGATTTTTTTTAAATGCTGTTTTTAGAAGACACAGCATTAAAATGGCAACTAAAATTATAGCTTCAGGTAAAGAAAAGCATAAAATCAAAATGATATTCCAAAATAGCATTGTTTAAGGGGAATAAAAGTAGAGAATTTTCTGTATTGTCTTTACAGTAGAAATGTTCTGTAACCTTCTTGAGATAATGTTTTACATAATGGATATTTCTTAATTAGAATGTAATAGAAGGACGGTCTTTTCTTTCTCTCTACTCTCTCTTTCCAAGCCTTATGGATATATTGTGATTCCTTATTTCTAAAGAAAAGAGAAGATTCCCTCAAGCCAAACCAATTTCACATCCAAGTTGTTTTCTTAGCAATTAAACAAAAGTAGCTTGTCCATGTCTTCCTTAGGGATATATTTTTCCTCACTTTCCCACTCTAGCCTACCCTCCTGGCATTTTCTGATGATCCACCAGGGTTAATCAGACGTATCTGATGCTGCTTACATTTCTTGACATTAACCAAGGTTGCTAGAGGTCCCAGAGATACTAGACTTGTTTCTGCATGCCTTTTAGAAAATCTGTCACAAACTGATCTCACACAAACAATAGGGAGCCATTTTGTTCCATGAGCTCTCATACGTTCATATATTATCTGCACCAGACTACATCCCGGGGAAGATATGGTTAAGGTCAGAAGTTTTTAGGACAACTATTTTTCATCTTTCTTTCTAAAACTTCTTATCTCTTCCGTCTGGACTTATTTCTATCCTGCCATCATCCAAAAGTCTGCTCATGCATTGTCTCTCTGTTCATATAAGTACGCATCTAACTCATGGGTGTCAAACTCGCCACGTCACATTGCCATCACGTAATGTTTTGTGATGTTCTTCCCATTAGCGGAGCTGGGATGGGCATGGCCTGCGCATGAGGCATCCAGCCCGTGGGCTGTTACTTTGACACCCCCGATCTAACTTAATCCCGCAACAAAATGGGAGTCTCCTACAAGCTTACACCTGTGCTAACATTTGAATGCTTGCCTGTGTTTGAAAATACATAGAATACCTTTTTCGTGCTTAACATTGTCCTATTGACTAAAATAACATACAAAACAAATTAATATAGATGAAATGAGAGGCAATCAATATGTAAACATCTGGGTAGAGAAGATTAAGGTTCAGTATTGGAACCTTCCAGTTTTGAACTATCCACATGAAAAATTCTTTATAACATTTTTAGAAGTACCTTAGAGAACATCCATACAGGTAGTTCTCATTTAGTGACCACAATTGACACTGACAATTTGGTTGTAAAGAGAAGTGACCGCTTGGTGCTTAAAACATAGCTCAACTTTCCTTTGCTTCATAGACCTAGGAAGATCATAAATGCAAGGATTGGCTGCAAAATTATTTTTCCATTACTATGGTATCTGTGAAGGGCTAGTGTATGAGGAAGTCGTTAAATGAGAATTCTCTATACAACTGTCACCACTGGCAATTAGAAAGCAACAATTAGAAACTCCCTGCCAGAATGCTTGTAGGAATAAAGCAACATCAGTCCTGAATCAACTTACATTAGTTAGCAATTTGTTTCCATGCTCAATTGTTCATGCTTGCATTAATTTTTAAAGTGCTGAAGTCGAAGCTCTTGCAGAGGCATTTTTCATATGAACACATTATAAGAGGAATAACGAGTGGATACAGAATTTGATTGATGGAAACCAAGTGCAAGATATTTTGGTGAGGCAAAACCATACTACTGCAAAGCTTTTTGGAATACCTAATAACTTCTTTTTTAAGATGGCTGAAATCTTTTATTTTGAAATGTCTCAGGCAGCTGATTCTCTTGCTTATAGGGTGATCAAATTTACGCTTCATTTAAGGCTGGTATAGGTCAAAAGTCAGATATAATTTTAAAGCAGGTTAATATAAGATTAAACAAACTATAATTAGCAAAGAGCTATTGTATTTTTAAGAGAGATGAGAATATAAAATACTGCCCTAGTAATCCATTTTTCTTATTGAAGTGGAATGAATTTTTTTTTTTTTAAAAAAAGTCACCACGAGATGACAAATATACCTTACTGATTTATTAAGGACAAAGATTCAGATCTGCCAAGTATACAGCAACAGTCTCACCAATGAATAAAAGATGTATAGTTTCTGTTTAATTGTGCACCCGCTCAGTTCAGATGTAACCTCTTTCTGGTTAATAAGATGGGCACAAATGTGTGTGTGTGTGTCTCCCTTCCTTCCTTAGCACATCAACATCAAAGATTCTTCAGTAAATTCGTAACAGTGTTCCTTACATCCAAAGCAATAAACTAAACCTGAGAACTACTCTTTCCTTTCTGGATTTATTGGGAAGTTATTATGAATGAATTTAGGAAGCTTCCAAAATTAGCCCATTGAAAAGGAGGAACGCTTTTAATGATCTCGTCCCTAAAGTGAAAAGCCAAGATGCTTTGACTGCAATTCCACTCCTGGTGACTAGGTGGCGCTTGTTCAGCAACTATCTCAGATAACAGTACAATAAATGAGTTTAAACTTGCTTGGAATTAACCTATGTCTGTCATCTGACAAAAATTAAACCTAAACAAATTAATAGAATATAAAAATGATAATTAAAAATAACAAGTGAAGAAATAAAAAAAACAAAAAAGCAAATAAATTCAAAGAACAAACTTGATGGACCATGAGACCATTTCTGCCATCAGTTGTCTATGTTTCTACAATGACTAACAAATGATAATTTAAAATTTCAGTTTTGGAATAATGTGGTATTTATGACTATAAAAGCCTTCAATATGTAACTGTTTAAGGTCTAGTCAATCTCCATGGCAGGAGGGCTCTAGTCAACTAATTAAGATCAGAGAGCTCAGCTTGTTAATTTGTGGTGAGCGCTTTGTACTGATGAAGTTTCTTAGATCAGAAGTGAGACGTCTTCTACTTTGTCAAAAAACAGCCCAATTGCCTTTAAAAAAATAGAGCACTTTGGAAACAACTATGATCTGGAGGAGTGAGACTAGACATTTATTCCCAATATAGTTTCTGGCAGTAGCAAAACAAAATAGTTAATACATAATAATACATTTGATGCCTGGAATCTGGAAGGATAAAGAATACAGAAGTTATATGGGACTAAAAAAAATGGAAGCAAAGGCCTATTGGTTTCATTCATTTGTTTCTAAATCATTCAGTCTGTTTTTCATTACAAATAATCACAACCACAAGCCCATCATAAGGATAATGGCCTGAAAGGCCCATGGTTGGGGATAAGAATGACAGCAATATAATAAGCATGATGGGAAAAAAAGAGACTGGCTGATAATAAAGCTCAGGCTAAGGCACTCTGAACTTGAAATCCATTAGAGACAAAGAATATTCTCTTTTCACAGAGTATAATCGTCTTAAGTGTAAACCATGGAGAGTAAAGGGCAAGGACTTTCAAAAGCACAATCAAGATACACCACGCTGACAAAAAAAATGAACGGCAAATGTCAAAATACTTTGCTCACATTTTTAAACGATTATATAAATCAGCAGAAGTAGGAAAATAACCTGAGGAGCAATACCAAAAATGAGCTGTTCCCGGTAAGACTTTCAGCAATACTATTGAAATACAATGTTCTAGGCAGCTGAATTTCATTTGTTCAAATTCCAAGGCAAGTATGACTCTTCTCTGTGGTCTCAGAAAAGGCAGCCACCAAATCAACAGGAAAACTACACAGTCCAGGACATTTTGTTGCTTGGGTACCGGCATCCAAAGATGGTGGCTGCAATTGCAGGATTGAAGCTCTGCTCCCTTCGTACGTGTGCTGCATACGCACCACATATAATAAAGGGAAGAAAACTTTGAGCATGCAATTGTGTTCATCATCTTTCCTGGACAATCTGGAACTGTGCCGCCTGCAGTCCGATCTCAACATAGTTCACAAAATTGTCTGCTATAACATCTTGCCTGTCAACGACTTCTTCAGCTTCAACCACAATAATACACAGGCTAACAATCGATACAAATTCAAGGTAAACTGCTTCTAACTCGATTGCAGAAAATATGATTTCAGCAACAGAGTGGTCAATGCCTGGAATGCTTTACCTGACTCTGTTGTTACAGACTCAAACCCTCGCAGATTTAACCTCAAACTGTTTACCATGGACATCACCCCATTCTTAAGAGGTCCTTAAAGGGGGCGTGCATAAGCGCACCAGCGTGCCTACCGTCCCTGTCTTACTGTCCCCATTTATCTGTATTTACTTCCTTTGTTCATGTTTATGTTCATACCTATACTTGTTATCTTGTCCATGTTTGACAAACAAATAAAATAAAAACAAATAAACAAATAAATAAAATCTTGCCACTGTACCCCAGATAATCAAATATCTGCGTGCACATTCCCCCAGTCAAAGTCCATGGTATCTAAGGCTAACCAAGTTGTGTTTGTGCCCTGAGACCAAAAATCTCACAAATCTTTGTTTCCCAAACAGCGCCGATGCAATAACAACAACAACAATAATAATAGACTAAGTTAATCACTGGCTGACCTTTCAGATATTCAAAACCAGCTGCCTAAGATAATGTTTCGCATTAACTAATAGCAACATTGGCCCACAAGATGGCAAGTGTTTTTCTTCATCAAGGAAGTATTTCACAGTTAATGAGCTACCTGCAAAGCTCCCCCGGTTCTTGTCACCTGCCATACTTTTCTGGTCCAGCCCAACTCACCTGAATATGCCCAGTAAAGATCCCCAGATGCCTTCCGCCTCCGGATCTGCACCAAACTGCCATGTCGACTTTCATGCAGGGGGCCATCATAACCTTCAGTCAAAGCTGGGAGGAAGAAGAAGAGGAAAAAGCAGAGGCAATTAGACAAGTGACAATCCCTGATTGAAAATTAAATTGTTTAGCTATTATTAAATATGGTACACCATGTTTCCATTCCATTCCACCATGGTATACCATGTTTCCATTCTCCGCCATCCAGTCAGAGCTAAAGAAGCTTTTTGAATGGGAAGTAAAACATCTTCAAAGAAAAGAAAAGGAAAGGAAAGGAAAGGAAAGGAAAGGAAAGGAAAGGAAAGGAA